TGCATGGATTATGTTCTGTGGCTTTGATTTATTGCTGCAGGGGAACACGTTAATCGATTAATTGACGAGACTTGCACGAAGAAAATAATCTACGGCACGCGTGCTTATATAAATAAAAGACTGAATAATATATATATATATATATATATATATATATATATATATATGAAAAATATAAGATGTATGCATGTATGTCAGCATGTGGAGCTTCTCCCTCGATGGATAAAGACGGGCTCTATTATTATTTCTTAAATAGCATCTGTGTATAATCTCTATCTAATGTTGTGCTTGTAATAAATAAAAATATAGTGGTGGTTGTAGTATTGAATAAATTGCAAGATACCCCATCTGAAACCCGTTTGTGTCAATTAAGTCCCTGTGAAAAGGACCTTTAATTTAAAATTTTGATATATATGACTTAAGGTGTGGTCACTTCATTGATAATAACTTAACCTAATACAAATTTGTTATATATAAAAATGCAAAATCAAATTTTGTTCAAGGAAATTAAACAAAATGTTTGTGTAATTTATTTTTGATACAAACACATACACACATATGTATGTATACACAAACACAATTTCTTATCGTTAATTCTCGTTATTTTTCCTTATGAATCACCGTTCGAAAAAATAACTAACATTTTGCCCTAATTTATTTTAGGAATTATTTGATAAAAACCCCCCATATGTCTTTTACAATTAGTGTAGATCCATTTTTTTCCCCCACTTTTTGAGATAAATCCTAAATTTTATTTGAGGAAATGTGGGATAACCCCCTACTTTTGAAAATATATATGAGGAGGCCTAATGTTTTTTTCTCTCTAAGGCACCAAAATTCTGAACTTAATTAGGCAGACCCCCATGAGGACAAGTGATATGACTATTTTACCCTTATTATTCTGTTTTATTGGGCAAGGAAATTCCCTAACGGTATAGAAGGAAGCACCTTCTTTCTCTCCCTCTCTCTCGGCCCTCTTTCTCACGGCGCGTTCTCTCTCTCACTTTCTCCATCTCAATCGCTTCCTTATACGATTGGGTTGGGTTTCGGATTTGGGTGATTTAGCTTGATTTGCGTCGATCGAGGTTCAGTTTTACTGAGCGTTTAAGGTTCATTTTTTTTTATTTTTTTACGGATATTTCATGGCTCGTTTTTGTTTATGATTATGATGCGCGGCTGGGTGTTTGTTGATTTTACAATTGTGATTTTGCGTTTTCGTGTGTTTTTGTACAGTTTGGGGTTTTTATTGGTCAATTGTGTTTGTGTTGATGCATTTCGATATTATATCGTTTTTTTAATTTTTTCAGAGATTTGTAATTATATATACCAGAGTAGTCATGTTTAGCATCATAGGCCTGTTGCATATACATAATTGTGTCGTTTTGATTTTTTCAGAGATTTGTATTTGAAATATACCAGAGTAGTCATGTTTAGCATCATAGACCTGTTGTATATCAGAGTAGTTAAATATATGTTACAGTAGTCATATACATAATTGCCTTTTTGAATTTTTTGTGTATATTTTTTGATTTGTATTGATATACACCAGAGTAGTCATGTTTAGCATCATAGGTCTATTGCATATCAGGGTAGTTAAATATATATATTACAGTAGTCATATACAATACTTATTTATTCTGCATATCAGGTGCATAATGTCTACAAATATTGTACTAATAATGAGGTTTGGAGAATTATTTGGTGTGAGAAAATGTGTTACTTCTTTTGGATTTGAAGAGTTGGTTGGATTCGTAAGGGCCAAATGGGGCTCGTTGCACCGGAACACCATGTCTCTCACGTATACGGTTGTTGGTCATGGGGAGGGTGTGTTGTATGATGATGATGATGTGTTTTACATGCTGTCGTTAGCGCGCCAGATGTCTCTTGATCGTGTTGAAGTGACTGTTAAACAAAGAGAGGGAGTTGTTCCTGATGTGGTATCAAGTGTAGCATACTTGTCTAATCGGGCACAGCTGCATGATGATGTTGCGTTGGAAATTGGTCAAGGTAGTAGAAGAAATTACTCGCAAAATGCTGGAATGTGTGCTCAAACTCAGTTGATGAGTGCTAACTGGGCTGATCTGATCAAGGATGTTGGTCAAGTTTTTCGTGGAGGTGCTGTAGAGTTTAGGAAAGCTTTATGCATGTATTCAGTGGAAACTGGATTTGAGTTTACATACGTTAAGAATGAGCGTATACGTGTCACAGCTGAATGCAAACACATGACAATAAAAAACTGTATGTGGAGGATACACGCATCAATTGAGAAGGTCAATGGGTATTTTTATATAAAGAAATTTGAGAAGCATCCCACTTGTGGATCTTCTTTTGGGTCGTCAAGGACGAATAGAATGACGTCTGACATTATTGCTGGTATGATAGTTAATATGGTACGAGCGAAGCCAGACATGGTTGCTAATGATGTTATCGTGGAAATGAAGCTGAATTATGGAGTGTACATTAGCTATTATCAATGTTGTCAGAATCGGACCGGACCGGCCGGTTCGACCGCGACCCGCCAAAAATACGGTCTGGTTCAACCTCAGAAACCGGAGAATTCATTAACCGGGGTCAATACGTCGAAAACCCGGTTCGACCGGTAAACCCGGTAGACCCGGGAACCATTTAAAGAACCGGGTTTTAGGCTAAAACGATGGTAGATGGCCGGATTTGCGCGGAGGATCACCGTGCTGGGCGGATCTGGGCGGGGGAT